GCCTTTACTGCATGTACGGGGTTCAGTGGCTTGCATTAAGTTCTACACCTTCCACTTTAAAAAGTTAAAATTAAGTGGATCCATTGATTATCGTGACGTGGAGCAGTACGCCACTTCTACAGAGACCCTTCGCTTTCCGTTCATAATCACGATTTCCCTTGCATCTGCTGTGCAACAGCACTAAATTTGGAGTAGGTCTTGAAAAGCACGCTTGAGGCCCAACCTATTTCCCTTTTCCTGTATTTCCTTTTCCGGCTGGACTCTCGGCGCGATCGTCTTACGAGCTTTAGTTCAATGGGACGACCGCTTTCACGGCAGTACTTTCAGATGCCAATATTCTACTTTGGGGATAACTGAAATAGGCGAGGACACTTCTACCCTGTCCTGTGTCTATTTCTGCTATCTTGAAAGTAGAATATTGGCGATGTTGAATCTCTCGTCGACTGGGATATCAAATTCAAAAAGTTTTCTGAAGGTACTTCGCTTGATGAGACTCCCACGTGTTGACAGGTATTGTAATTCCCTATTGAATCTCGAAGATACCATTGCCTAGCATTTACTAATTTCAGAGACTTTGGATCGTGCAACCCTATAAGATCATCCGTATCGACTGAGATCAAAACAGATAGTTTCACGTTTTAGAAATGGGACCAGAGCTTTCATCCTCACTTCGGTGTAGTGAGTGGTTCCTCTGGAAAAGGATCTTTATTAATATACATGGTGGTTCCAATAAAATGTGATTCAAGAAACTAACGATGAGTGATAATTTCAATAACATTAATCAATTTTGTCATTAGCAATATCAATTAGTAATTTTAGAGAAACTGTGCAGTGTCCAGCAAAGCTTTTATCATCAGGTCTAGGTAATAGTAACTTCTCCGGGAATGGATCGGGTTTCCTGGTGATGAAGTACGACGCAGGGTAATGATAATAGATCTCTTCTTGTTCAATTTGAAATGCTAGTTCGTTTAAAAGGGTCCCATAGAGTCATGTGGTTGAAAGGGTCAAATGAAGAAGCAGAGAAAAATGTACCCTCGATGCTAATGCCTGCAGTAAAGCGGACTGCAGGTAGGAGGTTACCGCGTCACCCTCCCATTCGATCGCCTCTGTTGACGGCCCCAAGAATCGTTTCCATCGCATTGGCTCCGGACCACGACGAAACCTCATTGACACTTCTTCCCATATGCAATCATCCCGTGGTGCCGTCCGTATCTTGTACAGGTGAAGAAGAGCTGTTAGTATGATGTAAATAGGAATGTGACCCTCTAGATAATTCGAGGATCGTTCTCCAGTGATCCTCCAAATCAACATTTGTGCTCTGCTGATCAGAGCCATCCCTCCAGGATAGCTATGTTTTCTATTTTTTAGCCGTTTATGACATTTGTTGGTCCTTTCAATGTTGGTAACGTTTCTCGTATGATCTGGGCCCGTTAGCACTTTCGAAAACCCGCATGGGAAATCTGAGTGCATTAGGTTGCTTTATTCATTTAGTTATTTATTTACCTATTTGATAAAAGAATCGATACTCTTTGGAACAAAATCATTTTGATTCAGAACAAGACAAATTCTGAATCTCTTCAAACACGAAGAGTGCAAAACACTTCATTCAAGCAGAAGAGTGAAACTCAATTTTCTCAACCGATTACTTGTAGAATGAGTGTCGAGGAGTGTTGACTCCTTCCGCCCGGCCAACTTTTATATGGGACGCTGCTACTGTCAGAATTTCAGGAAATGTGATCCGTTTACCAGACATTCACTCTTGTAGAACTGCGATAGAGTTGAGTCATCGCTAGAACGCTGGATTTGTCGGGAAGAAATGGATTGAAAATGCGTGTATGAAGTGATTTAGTCGTGCAGATCGTTACCAGAATATTCGTACACGGTATCCAAAGCAGTGGGGTCAGATAAACAACTCGAACCAGTCGATAGCTCTGTAACAACATACTATACTTTTCGGAATTACTACTCCCAAATGAATCTGAAATAGTGGTCCAAGTAGGCGGATATTGAGCTATAGTCTGCCTTCAACAGAAGAAAGCCCTCGTATGAAATTGCTGCTGCTCGATGCTGTAGGAGCATGAGTATAAACCTATACCTATACCTATACCTATACCTATACCTATGAGTAAGGCCATGACTAGTCCTCATCCCCTAGGGAGGTCCTATGCAAGCAATCTGTGCAAACAACCTGTATTACCCATTGCCGTGACTTTAGCACGACTTCTTCTACCCTACATCTATTGCGGTTGTGACAGAGACGCAGAGCAACTAAGACGTATCAATGGATGGTCCTCAGTGCCCCGCACTGAGTCTAACAGCGCAATTGCGCCTGGAGCCATTTGTGCGCAGCTGCGTGCATAAAAAGATGGTCTAAAAAAGCAATTTTATACTACGATACCACCTAACCCTCTACTCGACTTGGCTAGAGCTCTCTCGAGCTCCGTATTGCTCTACGTTCCCCTTTCGATATTTCCACGCTATTTCTTCAAGCCAACGTCATTCGCAGATCCGTAGTCCGTTATTTCTCTTAAGTGATCTGAGAGATACTACGTGGATGGATTTCGCGCAGCATACTTCGAAGGCCGAGAAAGCGAAGAGGAGCAAGGATCATTTCACGCAGCCACGTGTGAGATTTGTTTTCCTATGATGACGGTACCAGTTCTCCCTATGCGCAGCTGTGGGTGATGGAGTGGGAACTCGTGCACCACGCATGAGGAGGAAGGTTGACGCTCATCGACCAACCCTGGTAAGGCGGAATACCCTCTCATAGGGATATAATTGAGTTTATGGTTTGCTTTGTGAAGCCATTCACTTTATTCATGTTTTGTTGTGTACTCAGAGAGGTCCACCTTTCACATATTCACTTTGGTGCGATGGACGAACATTCATCACTTTTACTGTCATTTTTTGTTTTATTATGAATTTTTCGACGATCAATTAGTTGGTGGACAAAGGAATCGAAATCACCGTACCTCGCCAATTCTAAATCGTATGCATAAACTGGAAATGATCACGCCTATCAATGCTATCACTAGGCAAGCACCATGAAGCAATATTTTGAATTCTGCTTGGGCCCTGTAATTGTTATTGTCCAAATCTGGTAAGAAACCATAAGAACTCCAGAGAATTAAAGACAAAGTACTTTTGATCGAAAAAGTTAAAAGCTTCTGTAATTCTGGGTAATCCCGATTATGACGAGAAATGGAAGATAAGGAGGAAAATAGTGCAGTGAAGGGAAAGGAAGTGCCCAAATCGGCCTTCCCAAAGTGTTGAAAGACTTCGAAAAAATCGTTGAAGAGAAGGCTAGAAAAAGTTGAAGAGAAGGAGACCAGAAAACTGAAGAAGAAGGGGTGTTTTAACGAGCTATACAATGTGTGTCATTGCGTACGTATGGGTCCTAGTGCGAATAGCTGACTACAGCAAAGCAGCAGCAAAATGTTCATCAAAATTCGTCCACTCTTAAGCATAAGTTAACAAAAAAAATTAGTAACAGCAAAAATAGCCAACGTTTTTCACTCTCTGGAGGTAGAAAATTATAAGTTATTGCAATCAAATGAAGCAGCAAGGAGAATGACGAAAACGTAAAAGGAAAGGAGAAAAACATCGCCTCACTACTCAGTCATCTGATTGCGTGCTGAACGTGTGGGTCCTAGCGCGAATATTGCAGTCTGTATCGCTTGACACTCTTCTGGCACATCATCGGTAGATGGGCGTGGCATTCGGGCGATCCTGTAGTGGGGCTCTCACTATGCCCTGGCCGTTGAGTTTTTGGACCCGACAGCGTTCCTTCTGTTGCCTTTAGGGGGGGGGGGCACTGGGTATGCATGGGGGAATAGTCAGAAACCACTTCCATCGTAAACTGTGCCTTTAAACCTCCAGAGTATAACATACGGGAAAGGTAGGGCTCCTTTAACCGGGGGACGTGCGATTCACGCGTGACCCCCACTCTTCGCGCACGCAACATTCAACGCACCACGCGACAGATTACGTACGTGTTCCGTTGCAATCGCTTCAGTACCCTTCAGTTGAGATGAACCAACGAAATGTGCAATAGTTCATGGCTTCACCATAAAGTAGTCAAATCTTCTTTCTATGGCAATGAAGCTCCTTCGAGGTTAAGAATTTGCTTCATAGATTAATAATTTGCTTGTCAAACGTTCAAAGTAGGAGTAATTTTGGGATGTATCGATCCTAATAAACGCAATCCTTCTGTAAACTTGCACAGTTGACCATTTTTTTTACATATGTTTTATAGGTTCCTATTTCACCCATTATGATGGTTGGCATGATTTTATAGCGCGTCTCCTCCACGGCACCGCGCCGCCGTAGGCTCCACCCTCCACTAGTGAGGACCTCATTACATTGACGCGTGAATCGCACCACATCCTTTTTACCTATATAAAGAGAATGAGTTACGTTTCTCTACGGGTTCGTTTCGTTCGACGCATCCGTCGAAACTAAGTCACGCCGCAGCCGTCGCGCTCGGCGCGTCAGTCCTCGATTTTTGACAGACGTCGCTGCTGTTAATGTAGCATATGTGGTTGTTCTCGGTGCATCGACACTGACACTCACTTGTAGTACAGTGGGATGTATGTCGTTTCTCGCGGCTTCTCCCATCACGTCCCCCTATCGTCGCAGTCTGTAAGCTGGACAAGCGTCCAAATCATTCAAACTCCAGATCGTGCTGATGCAAATAGACAGAATGCATGTGGGCCCGCAGTTCGAATAGTAATGGCGTCATCGATCGGGGGCATATCAGCTGGATGGGCAGTGGGTTGGCCGATTTGCATGGTCAGCTGGGAGAATTGCCTGGACGATTTTTCCAGCTCACAAGCTGCGGCGAATAGGCGGCCCTATGCGTGGGGCCGCGCAAAAGGAAAGCCTTTCACTATAATGTCATCTCGAGATAAAAAGAATACGATAACACGCTCCCTCAAAGAATACGATAATACATTAATAGTCAATAATACACGAAAATACGTTCCCTCTTTATCATTTAGTCATCCGTCAAGTTGGGTGGACGTTCTTGACGATAACCCAATCGTGACATTCCCCAGCAAATTGAGCCACTGCTCAATTACCTCGACGTGAAGAGGTGACGCGATTGGAGCATTTCCCACAGTTTGAATGTAGGCTTTCGGAGACACATGGATTTTGAATTGGCCTAGGCTGAATACATCTTTTCAACATATGAAAGTTCCAGAAATCTGTTCCAGACCGTTCCACATGTGAGGGTCGCGCGAATGGTGGTTCTGTCCCTGCTACGGTCAAGTTCATGCCTGGAATTCGAGAACCGAGGTCCTGTTAAGCCCTATCCACTGCCCGTTTTGGGCCAGCGACAGATTGATGGAGTAATCCAAAGTTCTACTTGAGAGGCATTATACCTACTACTCAAGAGCAACTTTGAGTAGCAGTCAGAGGCGTGGCGCATTCAGACGATAATTGGTTACATTGAGTGCTGTATTCCTCACCTCGTATTTAGAGAAGACGCTTCAAAAAAACTACGGGGAAGCTCCAAACAGTTTTTTACTAACCCTTTCCTTCGAATCGTATCGAACATATAAACATAACCGCACAGACAGAGGACCAGAGCCGTCACTCGATAAACCAGTCCGATATAGAAGATGGACTGAAACATGAACCACACAAGAAATTTTCGTTGAAAACTGGTATTTCGGTATTGATCCAAATATTTTTAGTTGTAGTATAGTAATCTGTCCGCATTCAGTTGGCCAGTGCCAAATTATAGCAGCGCCACCTTAACCTACTGAGACACATCCATAACAGTTTTAGAAGACGTTATATTAGACCAAACTAGAGCCGAAATTGCCGTTTCGAATGCATCGTAACTATTCGGATCGTTTGCTATCATCCAGTGTAACTGCTTGGTATACTAAAAATCCCTACTCACCGAATAATAGGTGACATCAGGACTGCTAAGAAGTATTGGGACTTCCGTACCCTTAAGACCATACTGAAAATTAAAAATACAGTAGAGTGGTGTGGCAAGAATGAGTGGTAGCGATACTACAGCGATAAAGAGTTTCCATTTCGCTGAATGGTCCACGACCTGAATGAAGATCAAACGAAGAAGTGACGGCTTTCACATAAACTGACAAGAGTTGTACCAGTAAAAAATTCTAGGGAAAATCTAGGCACTATCGAAAAACAGAAAGTATGACGAAGAAAATCAATCGTATCATACAACAATCGCCAACAAGAAGGAGCTTGAGGTCAATTACCTTTGTCATGTGGGCCATAGGTAGGCACATTGTCATTAGCCGAACACCCAACTCCATAACAACAGTTGTCGCTTGGGTGTCCATAATTACTTCCTGGGTAACCTGAGCAAATTTCGTCCAGACAGGATAGCGGTTCAGACGTAGAAATACAGGAACCGTTGCATCAAAACACCTGGGGTACATGGTCGTCGTGAAAAACGTGAGCGAAAGAAGATCGAAGAATCCCTGAAATGAGGGTCCATAGAGGAAAACCTGAAACACGGACGATAAAGACTTCCGGTATTGAGAAATTGTTTCTAGGATGCGCCCCGCATTCGACTTCCAGTCGGAAGCGTAATGGCGGTTTGGGTGGCTAGCAGACGTACTTTCCGAAGACCTCAATTCTGGAATATATTGCTGCATACAATCAGTTAGTTAATAACAGTTACAAGACGAGTCAGATCACACCAAGTCAACCAAAAGTACTGAGAAAGTAGGGGAGTTGGATCTGTCGGCGGGGTAGAAGGAAAATGGAACCGCTCGTGTCCTGATGCGAGTGAGTATTATCACTCGTTCAGTGTCAGGAGGTCACACATCCCCTCTTTCGCACTTATTCCCGGCTTTATGTAGTATATTTCCCATGCTTCTATGATTTTCCTCTCTACTGGCCGTACCAAATATCTATGCAAAACCCTCACATCGAAGGAGGGAACCTTTTCTTTCTATGTTCACCCACGCGGACATTGAGTGCTCTCGCTGTCTCTCCCACGTACCATCACCTACCTCACGTTGAATCAAATGGACGATGCCCTGGTATCCACGAGACTGTTAGCGGCGCAGTTTGCGTAGATTCGGGACGATGCCATGAGATCCTTCAGTGTAGGAATAGGTCAAAAAACATGTCGAATGAGGAGCTGGTAATTCTTCTCGACGTGATTCGCCTTGCATGCCATTGTGTCGTTAACAAAAGGCATAGTCAGACTTACACCGACAGCAGTTTTGTGCGAAGTCTGTTTGTTTTCTTATATATAGGATGTGCGCTTCCAGAATGCGACAAGATGTTCGACAAAGCACTCCTTCTATACCGCATATGTTCCCTATAATCTTCACTAATTCGTATCTTCCCATTAAGGAATGGTGGAAATCCACCCCTCCCCGGTTCTTCTCTGGTGAAGGTTATGTTGGCATCGTGAGAGTTGAATTTCCTCGATGTTTCCGCAAGGTCTTCCGTTGTTCCGATAACACATATGCGTCAGTATAACGCTTGTAGAATGGAATCTCCTAGTTAATGATGAGTTCTCGATGTGGTCCAAGAAGATGACTGCTAACAAAGGTGTCATGTGATTACCTTGTGTGATTACCCATGGCAAGGCTTCTTTCTTTCTTGTAAAATTTATTGTCGGAGCAAAAAAATGTTATAATCCAGTGCTGCTTCGATCGGTTCCTTAATTTTATTGGCGAGAAATCCTCCATCGCCCTATATTCTTTGTTATCATCGATAAGAGATAACACAGCTTGCACGGCTCTCTCGTTGTTCACTTTCTTATATAATGATTTTACATCAAAGCTAGAGGGTTTCCGTCGGTACTGGGCATTGGTGAAACGACAAACATGCAACAACAAACATACATAGCAACGGATACTATGAAGGCAATACGGGAACCTTAGTCTCGCACAAAACGGCTGACTGTATAAGCCTCAATGTGCCTTTTGTAGACGACAAAATGTGAAATGCATCGTGAAGAACTACCCGCTCCCCATTCGATTTGTTTTTCGATATCTTCCTACACTGGAGGATTTCTGGATCTACGAAAATCGTTGCCGCTAACAGTCTTGTTGATACTGCACATCTGAGAGAATCGTGGACTTCAGAGCACCGCCTATTTGATTCAAAGAGGGAGTTGGGGAAAGTACGTGAAGGAGACCACGAGAATACTGAAGATCTGGATAAATATAAAAGAGTGTTGGCCATCCGCGCTGGCTATTCACACAGCTTTTTCAGACTCTGCACACTTAGGCACGGAAAAAAGCTCCTTCCTCCGACTGTGGGTTTTGCATAGATACTTGGTACGGCCACTGAAGAGGGAAATCACGGAAGCACCTCATAAAGCCGGAAATAAGGCGAAAGATGAGATTCGTGACTTTCTGTGACTGATTGAGTGTCTTAACATACTGTTTGTGTGCAGCAGTATAATGTAAAGTTAAGGTATGACGAAGGCGTAACGCCATGCCTACCGATTAATTTGAAGGATCAAGAGTTTTGAAAAGTAGAGATCATATACAGCCAAAATAAAAGCAACACAGAACAGTCAAACTATTGCACCTGATTCCACCAGAGTCTGAAGAAAGCGCTGTTGAATTGAGTAGATTGTCGATTACGAATTATGATGAACAAGGCATCACAATACAGAATAAAAGTCGACCCCACAATGAAGCCAATCCCACCGACAACCAACTGGTAATCCATACTGCAGAAATTCATTTCTTAGCGAAAAAATTTAAAACATCAACAACGTTGTCAATTCACAAGGATAGTTTCGTGGGGCGTCTGGAGCCTAGAACATCTGTTTGTTTTTACTTGACTTCACTTTTTTATATTTGTTCTTTCATTTAGTTGTTTACTCAATACAACACACATGATACATACCTTCAAAAAATACATGTGTAGTAAGCACAGCAGCTGGTTCCACGACGGAATTCTCACGAGGTTGGCGATTTATGGACAAAACTTTAGTCTCGGACGGGACTCGAATTTGTACTTGTGCTTCCCGGGCTACTTTGCTCAAGGGAATGTATAAATAGACGGAATTGGTCTGTTGACCAAGCTAGGCAACAGATATAAACAGCGACAGTGTGAACAGATGAAGTAGCATTCGAAGGTGAAGCGAAGTAACTATTGGGCTGTAGGCTATATTAAGGTCTTTGAGTGAATCAGTAACCTTTGTAATCTCTCATTTTTCTTCTAGAGTTTTCTCTAGGATTTCCTAACTTGCGTGACAGCTCCTGTCTCTTATGCATAATTCGGTTTGGAACAAATGATAATTTTCGGAGTCAAAAATTCGGCAGAGGACTAGTTGGGCATGCCAGGTGTACTCAAAATGTCCCGCTGCCTATGATGGGTTTCTTGAATGTTGTCGAGTCATAATAATACCATTACCAAATGTCAATGAAGCTCAAATACTAGATAGGAATCCAACATTATTAGCGGTCGTATAAGTCTTGCCAAGAATGGTATCGAAGCAGAGAGAAACCGTGCTCTTTTATTGAATCGCAAGCATTGCTGGGTGGCGGTCGTAATTTAATAGCAAGAAATGAAACAACTTTCATTTCCTGATAACTTATTATCTTTAGTCGGTCCCTATCACCGCACTTACTCTTCTTTCCGAACGAAACATATCAAAAAGCTAGATCGTAAATAACAGAGCCTTCAGGATTTATACGGTGACTGGATCTTGCTCTTCGAGGCCTCTTCCATTGTTAGTGTTCCTATCCTAATGTCAGTGTTTCCTCTCTCCTCTACTCCCACCAATTTTTAACAATCCCCGTCCAGGGAAACAGGAGTTATGAATCTACTCTCAGACATTCATTTCGCGGAGTCCACGACTATGTAGGGGGAGTCCGGCCTTCCTACCTACCGGAGAGTTCTCTTCCTGCCGCATGTACTACTACCAATTCGAATACGGTAACTTTCGCGCAAACCCCGCTGCCTGCGGGTGGAGTCTGGTCCTACCGCCTTCCATAAGTGTTCCTGTCTTGCTGCTTTTATTGCTGCCAAGTTTGATTGCTCTAGGTTCAGAGGAACAGAAATTATGAAATCTCGCTCGCCGCTCGAACACACACACACACACGTACACACAAGCACACATACAAGCACACACACAACGCACGAAAACACATAAACACGCCTTGATGTAATGGTAGAGCTCTTTCGATTTGATAATGGAAAGCAGAAGTCACTCTCCGTTAGCTGTGAAATTCTTACAATGGAGATCATGTTCACATTAAATATTTTTATAAAGAGGTGATTGCAATGAGCGAGACAGGATCTAGTAAATGCAGTACGTGTGATGGATAGCTGAGCCATGATGGGCGGAGAAACTTGAAAGGATCATTGAGCGGCATAGCACTGCGAATCTCGGAGCAAAACCTTTTGTGGACATCGCTCGCAGGGACATAATTATCAAAAGCAGTGAGTCAGTCATACGTTATAGGTAAAGGTTCATAAGTTTGAAGGCTGTTTTAAGGGAATCTGGCATAGGAAGGCTATTGCTGTTAGATCGAATATGTAGAACAGCGAGGGCAACGTTATTGTGGTCGTAATCACCGAGCGGAGATAGGAGTAAAATGTCTGTTATAATCGGCAAGGTAGAAAGAACAAGATCTAGAACATTGCTCTCACGAGCGGGATGGGTTGCAAGTTGTGTTAAACCACATTTCTCAAAAAAGCCCACGAATAAGGCAGAAGAAGAGGTGCAGCTTTTTTGTCTTCCCAGTTGATTCTGAGACTAAGATCTCCCAAGAGGATGGTGTAGCGCCTGGTAGAGCTAAAATTAGAAAGCAGTGCAAGCAGTTGAGATTCATCAACTGTAGTAGAGTTCGGAGGACGGTAGACAGCGATGAACCTCACTGTAGATAGGACATTAGAAGTGCAAAGTTCAAATGGTAAGATCTCGGAGTTGAACGTGTGGTCAAGAGTGATCTTTTCACGCGGCGATAACCGAAGTAAGGTTAACTAGCAATTAGTTCTGAGTTGGCTATTTTCTGTGTGATCAAAAAAATCGAAATATCGAAAATTCGAAAATGCATGCAGGTTAGCTAACTTATCCGTCAGGCTTCGGGCATCGAAGAGAAAACAATGCAGAGTTTTCTGGTTACCATGCCCACTTAGAGGTTCCCCTATATTTGAGAATGAGAGAGATTTGGAATCTTTCTGAGTTCTCCCCTGAATACGACCTGCTCGCATTTAGATTTTACTTCATTCTATTCTTTTGATCCCTGCCCTAACTCGAATTCATGCTTGCTTTTTTTCAGCCGTCATGCTCTTCCTTCTATTTACATCTTTCAACCTGAGAATGACCGTGGCGTCTACATGCACGCTTGTTAAA